TGCCAGCCCTCCCCATGCTTCCAAGGCTATCTGAAACTGAGCATGTACAGGCAGTGCCAAAGATAATTCTTCATCTGAGTTTGAGCCCAATAAAATAAGGAAGGTAAATCTACTGCAAGGATAAATCCCATCACACCTGCATTCCAAAACCACAAAAATCACTTAGAGCAGAATCACATAATCTCTGTATTAGAAGGTACTTCATGGGGCATGTCTTCCAACCTGTATCTATTGGGCCCCTTCTCTGAAACAGCCCTTCCCACCCCATCTCTGAAGACCTCTAGTGAGGCCATAACCCTAACACCCCCTCCACTTTTACTCACCCCTCTTTTTAGGAAATTTATCCTCAAATCGAACCAAAATTTGTCTCTCTATAACTTTCCTACATTGTTCTTGGACTAATCACTCAGATCAAGCTGAACAAATCATCTTTTCCACATTTCAATACTTCAAAAACTCTAAATATAAAGATTCTTTTTATTTATTTATTCTCAAAAATTCTAATATAAAGTTTCCCATTTGGACTATCTGGGACCCTGATGCCATCCTGACCATCTTATCAGCAAGGATTATCCATTGGGGTCTCCTGATATACCTCCACACAGCCTGCCTATAGCTTAGCCCTACTCTATTCCCAGCAAACCCTGCTCTCTGTTTCCTCAATCCGGATTCTATGGGTAGACTCCCTAATCCAGGCAGGGACTGCCTCCACAAAGCAGGCCCTTGGATAGCATGCCCAAGGACAATGTTTTTCCTCTTCTTGTTAAAATGCAGAAAGTGCTATTTGCTTCCCAAACCATGATACAAATGTCTTGTGTTTTCAGGATAATCCCTGATCCCTCCCAAACCTCCTGATTTCACTGCCTAGGTCTCTGGCATCACCTCAGCTTGAATGATGTTCCAGGCATTTTTCAGTCCCACATTATTCTCTGTGTTATACAGGAGCAGCCCTTCCTTCAGATCCTTCTTGGCATTATCATTCACCTGTGAGGGGCAGGGAAAGGACCACAGGTGAATGTCACAAGAATGTCACACAGTCACAATCAAAACTTTGGGCGGTGGCATCAAACAGAAAACACTGATGTTGGGTCCAGGCCTAGTCACAAATTTCCCATGTGATCGTAGGTAGATGACTTATAGAGTTTGGAGAGGAAAAGTACCTTAGACATCATCTAGCCCAACCTCCTCATTTGACAGATAAGTAACCTGAGTCAGTTCCAAAGGGTAAAGTAACTTACCCAGAGTCACACAGGTAGAAAGGTGGAAGAGCCAGGTTTCTAACCCACAGACTCTGATTCTAAATCCACAAGGCAAGGCTGCCCCCATCTATATTTTGGAAGCCTCAGTTTCCTCTAAAAATGAAGGATTTAGACTAGATTTCTAGAGGCCCTCCTAGCTCTTACACTCTATGGTTTTAAAGGACCCTAGTTGTTTTTTTTTTGGGGGGGGGGGGTGAGGCAATTGGGGTTAAGTGACTTGCCCAGAGCCACACAGCTAGTAAATATTATGTGTATGAGGCCGAATTTGAATCCCAATCCTCCTGACTCCAAGGCTGGTGCTCTATCCACTGTGCCACCTAACTGCCCCGTTTGTGGTTTGTTTTTTTTTCAAGGCCCTTTAGGGAGTAAAACCAAGATCCAACCAACCATGCTCCTGTCCCAACAGCTCACCTTGTCCATGTAGACAAAAAACAGGATGAGTAAGATCAGCTCGGCCAGGAGGATGACCAACAGGACTATGAAAAACTAGAAAAAGCAGAAGAGTTGCCACATGACCTCTGGGTACAAAAATAAAAACGGGGGTCACAACGCACAGGAGTCAGGAGAGCCAGAAGGAGAGCAGGATTCCCAAGAGGAGAATGGTGCTCCCTCATCCTGGGACAGATCCTGGTAATATGGGGGAACTGGAGGCATGGACAACAAATAGGGGCCAGATGACAGAAACTAATTTTGGAGGAAATGTTGACATAAACAGTAAGAGCTAACCAATCTAGGAAGGAATCAGGGAGTGAACAGGATACAATGTTTCAGAATATTAGAATCAGATATAAACCCTAGATACACACACACACACACACACACACACACACACACACACACACACACA